AACGTTTCTGTTCACTTGAGTGGTGGTGATAACTAGAATCTCATCAGCTGTATTTCAACTATTAAATTGAGATTTTCCTAACTATCCTGAGTGAAAAATACTAAAAGCTTATTTGAGATACAGTGATAAAAATAAAGCATCAGGTTGTCTTATTTCCATGATATACTGTAATCTCATTTGGAACTTCCATTGTGAAACCAATTATCCAAAACCTGAACTGCTGCTTAGAGGTAATCTTTAAATCTTAATTCCAAAAGATCCCCTCAGGTCTTCAGTCTTAAAAACCTAACAGTAGTTTATCTTAGCTAGTGAAGAATGTCTACTTTGAGCATGTGTTCTTTTATGAGGATGATCACATTGCCGATAGCAACTCGAAAAACTACGTAGGAAACTTTATCAGGCAGTGAATATATGTTAATGAGAAGAAATGATGTAGAAAAGGAGGTGAACATATTGCATAACTGAAAGAATGTAACATATATTGAATTGTGCATGCAGAAATTCCTAAATTGGTATAAAAACCTCAAAAAGTTTATAAAAAAATTCCATCATCCTTTTTTCCCCCCCATCATCTTTTATTCCATTTTCCCACAAAATTTTGAAGTCCCCTCATAGGCTCAACAAGCACAACAAAAAAGTAAAATAAAATAACAAAGGTAAGTTATCTGGTTTTGATAAGGTTACTTTGAAGGAGGTAGAAATGATATACATTCTTTATCAAACAGCACAGTACTGTGATGTGTCCCCTTCCCTACATATTACCTTGGATCTCTGTTTGCGACCACCCCCAATATATTTCCATGTGCTCTTAATATATAGTTTAAAAATTTAACTCTTAATCTCTTTCTGAATCTGGAGATTGAGTTCTAGGAAATATTTTGAAACAATGAAGCTACTATCTCTTTGGGTTTGTTTTGGCGGCAATACGCCATGAAACAGAGAAATTTCAGCAGATTTCAGAACACACTTTAGTGATGCTGAGATTCAGACAATAGAACAATTATGTCTAGTTTTTGGTTTTGTTTTTCTTTTAAAATCTCATTTCTTCAAACATTCATGGAATAATATTAGGAGTAAACCAGGCATGTAAAAATAGTGTATGATATTTTTAGCAGATACATTTTGAGTACTAAATCTAATTCCAATTAAGCATAACTAGACTAATGATCTGTTTTACATTATCATATATAAGAATCTGAAAGGAGCCCTGGTGGTATAGTGGATTACAAGTTGAGCTGCTGACTCTAGGTTCAGCACTTCGAAGCCATAGCTGTTCCCTCGAAGAAGCAAGAATTTCTGCTCCTGTAAAGGTTATAGCCTTGGAAACCCACAGACAGGTCTCTGTTGTTCTACATAGGGTAGCTGTGAGTTGGCATGGATTTAGTGGCAGTGAGTTTGATTTCTGGGTGTACATTTGTCTCATAAATCAGATAATTGTGTGCCTAACTGCTTTGACTTACAAACATTCACTTTCTGTGTACTCATATGAAGGCTTTTCGTTTATATTCTGCCTAGTACACTTGTGATTTAAGGGTGATTATTATTTTAAACCCCTAGTCAATATTAAACGGACCCCGATGGTGCAGTGAGATAAGCAGTAAGCTGCTAACCACCAGGTCAGCAGTTCAAACCCACCAGCTGCTCTTTGGGAGAAAGATGATGCTGTCTGCTTCTGTACTGATTTAAAGTCCCGAAAACTCTAAGGAGCGGTTCCTCTCTGTCCTATATAAGCTCGTAATGAGTCAGAATTGATTTGATGGCAGTGGGTTTTGGTTTGAGCAAATATTCACATGAAATTATAAAATGCAGCAATCTGGAGTAACAAAGGTTTGTTTGCTAAACATATGTTCTGTAGATAAATAATAATTAGTAGTTATTTAGCCTTACTAGCTATATAAAAATATAAGAAAAACTATAAAAAATTCTAATGATCCATGACTTTTGCAATTAAGGACTTACATTGACATGCGATATTATTTCTGCCAACTATAATTTTCAAAATAGGTTCTTTAAATTGATTGAGATGGTAAAAATAACTCCCCTAAAACATTTTTGGGATTATAATTCATTGCTAATACAATTAATAAAACTATCACACATGATACTAATTATCTTTTTTTTGAGCTTGTTTTTTTTTAATTTTATTTTTATTTTTTAACATTTTATTAGGGGCTCATACAACTGTTATCGCAATCCATACACACATCAATTGTGTAAAGCGCATTTGTACATCATTCTCAAAACATTTTCTCTCCACTTAAACCCCCCCCATTAGAAGTACACAAGATTAACAGAGCATAACCAACATCAGCTCTTTTCAATGAAGGAAAACTATTAACAATATGCAAATAAAAATGTAAAATTGTGGCCTCAATTTGAAATATTCAGCTTAAATTTGAATAGGACTGTCATCTATGCAGCATTTTAGAAATTTGTTTGATGCATCAACCTAATGCATACTCAGGACACTTTGTAGCGTAGCTATTTTCATGTTTACCCTCTTCGAATGTGGTGCTTAACCAATTTTATATTGATTATTTTTGCCCAATATTCAATTTGTGAAATTACTTCTAAAAATTACTACTACTATTGAAAACTTAGTTCTGAAAATTAGCCAATAAAAGCTACGGATAACAACAGACTATTATTGTTTGATACAGTGCTGGAAATGAGTGTCCACCTCCCCTCCCCCCAGTCATGTTGAATACATAGACACAGTGGCACTAGAGCACATACTATCTTGAAACCAGACCTCCTAGAAGAAACCCAAAAGTTGAAATGAAAGTATTTGTACCAGATCATGTATCCATTCAAAAATTTCTATATGTAGGTCTCAATGACATAGGTTCTATCCTTCATGTTACGAGATTCCCTTTTCCACCTGAAGACTCTCTTTTCAATGCAAACTTTTTGGGGAAGATGGGGGAGAGTACCCTTATACAAGATGGAGAATTATGATCTAGCTAATAAAAAGTAAGTGATACTTCACACGAAAACACCTTCCAGAATAAAAAGTATGGTCCCCTCAATAGACAGAACAGCAGCAAATGGAAATCTAGCCTCCTTCCTTTCCTTCTTGAAGTTACTTAACTAAAGAGGAATGTGTCTTTTTAAAAAAAGCAGAAGACACAAAGGAGCTATGGTAAATTCTTAAAGAGATTTCAATATTCATCCTCAACATCACAAGGAAACTTGTAGAAAGGTAAATGTTTAGACCTATTGGATCAGAAATTCTGGAGATGTGGCTTAGCAATTTGCCTTAAGAAATCCTCTAGGTTAATCAAAACCAAATTGATGGCACCTAACAACAACAACTAGGTTATTCTGACACAGAGTAATGATTGAGCACCACTGCTGCAATAGTATTGGTACACAATAATCCTTAACAATACAATTTTTTACCACAATATGTTGGGATGATTTTCTTTAGGAGTCTCTCCTGTGGATATATATTTGTTTGGTTCCTCCTGTTTTAGAACCCTAATGAAATGTTAAATTGTTTCTCTTGATAGTATATGACATGATTCATTGACTTTTTCCAGTCTTTTTGCTATTTTTGTTGATTGCTCTTCTCTTAGATTGGAATCAAGAGATGTCTCTTCAAGCTCACTAATTCAGTTTTCTATAGCTTCAATGCTATTGCTCTGCTTTTTAAAATTTTTCTAATTCTATTATTTTAGGATTAATCTTCTGGATTTCTACTGTTGTTGTTATAGTAGGGTTTAAGATTTTTTTCTGTAGCTGTCTTAGTATTTATCTCCATCTCTTGAAAGTGTTTGAGCATCGTTCTCCTGAATTCAATATCTGGTGGTTCTAGATTCTTTTCTTCTTAATGACAATTCCTTTGGATCTGATCATTATTCATTTGTATGTGCCAATATTTCCTACATTTGTTTTAATTGCTGTCTCTGTGACATTGTGCTCTAGCTATTAAAGATAAGTGGCTGGGTTGTGTTTGGCTAGACGACTCCATTACATGGTGTATGATTGAAATATTAAAAGGAAAAATAAAAAAGATTAAAAAATGGCACTCTTTGGGTGGGCTCTTCCTTCAACCCCAGAGAATAGCTGGGGTTATGCGCTTGTTGTCTCTTTGGAATGCTGCATGTAGGGCTCTCCTTAGTTGCCAAGAGTTTTAGGTAATTTGTAGCTGGCCTTTTTTTCCTATAGCTGAGAGATAGCTGTGCAGTAGGGAGTCCACAAGAACCCGGGAGTGCATTTGCAGCCAGGGGTGTTCATCTACCACTCTTGACAGCACTGATGGTTCAATGAAGAATAAAATTTCCGATATATATGGAAAATCGCCACATGAACTCTGTAGCCCCAGTCCACTTGAGCAAGCGGATGTGCCAGTAGCTCTTTCAATTACCCATGACTCCAGGTGACTCCCAGTTCAGCCCTCACCCCACATCTCTCCCAGGCTTGGTTGGTCCTGCCTGTTCCTCCTCTTCTATTCTTACCCACAGTCTCTGGGGTGTGACTGATTGCCTACTAAAACTTTTATCTTGTCTTCAAAATTCCAGGAACCTGGTTTTGCTTCTGTGTTGATTTTTCTCTTGTTTGTTGTAGAGGGATTTTGTCTTCTGTGTGTCTAATCAGCCATCTAGACCGAGAAGTAAATTTTCATTTGATTTTTGATGTTTATAGGCACATATTTAGGTACATATCTTCTTATTTTCTTTAGGTTATTTCTTCACCCTCTCCACCTTTTTATCAATATGGATGAATTGAGCAGTCTGCCAGCAACAGTGGCATTTTCATTATGAAAGTTCTTAGATAAGTCTTATGGTTCCTCAATTGCTAGGAGGTCATAGATCTCTGAGCTGGATTCTTCTTTGTTTAGTATCATTGGATTGTTTTTATTTGATTTTGTCCCCCTGTTATGTTGTATGTTTCCATGACTTACAGAATTACCAATAAATATATTTTATTAAAGTTGCCATTCATTTTATTGCATAATTTATAAGCTAAATCTTTACATTTTCTTCCATGAACTATAGGATACCAGAAGGGCCCATTGATCAGGGGCCGGCTGCAGGAAGGGTACGTGCTTTAGAAGCGCAGCTTGTAAAGGCCAAAGAACAGATTGAAAATTACAAGAAGCAAACCAGAAATGGTAGGTGATGATGCAGTGTTTTCCATTTCAAAGTATTAGAGCTGTGTACAAATAATTGAAGACTTTCTCTCACCAGCTGCTGACACTGTTTTTTGACAGCAGGTCTTGGGAAAGATCATGAAATCTTGAGGAGGAGGATTGAAAATGGAGCTAAAGAGCTCTGGTTTTTTCTACAAAGTGAATTGAAGAAATTAAAGAATTTAGAAGGAAATGAACTCCAAAGACATGCAGATGAATTTCTGTCAGATTTGGGAAATCATGAAAGGTACTGTTTTTCCTATAAATTCAAACTTTGCTAAAGATTATCATCTAAGAATGGAAAAGTGGAATTTTTGTTACTTTTACATTTGAATGGTAAAAATAACCACTATATTCAAGAGAGGAATACGTTAGATATTGAAAGCAGTCCAAATAAAACTCGTCTGCTAACATATATCACAGGAAAACGTTTAAATTCATTAAATACATAGGTATCTTTATAACCCAAGTAAACTCTGAAATTAGTGGTATTAGCTAACAGCACACTAAAATACCCTCCTGTAAATTCCCTTTGCTTATAATCAGTATTTGAAATGAAGAGTGAAATTTTGCATGCTGTATACTGAACTTATGTGAGGCTAGCAGTTACTATTCTTTTCTTTAACAAATTATTTTATTGGGGCCTCTTAGAACTCTTATGACAATCCGTACATCGATTGTATCAAGCACATTTGTACATATGTTGCCATCATAATTTTCATACCTTCTCTTTCTACTTGAGCCACTGGTATCAGCTCCTCAATTTTTTCCTTCCTCCCTCTCCCGCCCTCCCTCGTGAACTCTTGATAATTTATAAATTATTTTTATTTTCATATCTTACATTGTCCACTGTCCCCTTCACCCATGTTTCTGTTGTTCATCCCCTCAGGGGTGGAGGGGTGTTATATGTTAATCACTGCAATTATTTCTCCCTTTCTCCCCCTTCATCCCTGCCTTCCCCATACCCTCATGGTATTGCAATACCTCATGGTATTGCTGCTCCCATTATTGTACCTGAGGGGTTTATCTGTCCTGAATTCCCTGTGTTTCCAGCTCTTATCTGTACCTGTATACATGCTTTGGTATAGCCAGATTTGTAAGGTAGAATTAGGGTCATGATAATGGGGTGGGGGAGGCATTAAAGAACTAGAGGAATGTTGTATATTTTTTCAGTGCTATAGGGCACCCTGGCTGGCTTGTCCCTTCCTTGTGACCCTTCTGTGAGAGGATGTCCAATTTTCTACAGATGGACTTGGGTCTCCATTCTGACCTCCCTTGTTTGCATTGAAATGGTTGCAACGAAATGGTTTGTTTTGGTTTTTCTGATGCCTGATGCCTGATCCCATTGACACCGCGTGATCACATGGATTGGTGTGCTTCTTCCATGTGGGCTTTGTTGCTTCCGTGCTTAGATGGCCACGTGTTTAACATCAAGACTTTAAGACCCCAGACGCTATATCTTGTAGTAGCTGGCCACCATCAGCTTTCTTCACTACATTAGCTTATGCACCCAGTGTATCTTTGGTGAACGTGTCGGGAAGGTGAGCATCACAGACTGCCAGGTTATTAGGAAAAAGTGTTCTTGCATTGAGGGAGCACTTGACTGGAGGTCCAATGCTACCTTACTACTTAACATATAAATATATGCACATAGACCTGTATCCCTGTCATTAGATATTCATATACTTACATATGTAAGTAGCAGTTAACTTTCTATTTCAAACATTAAAAATGTTTAAATAGCACTTTTTAAGAATTGCTAATGGAAGGTTAAAAGGTTTTTGATAAAAAGTCACTTTCTGTTCATTGCTTTTCCACTTAACTGCTAGAAAGGGGAGCCTGTATCTCTGCCTAGTTAAATTTGTTTCTCTGTATATATACATATCTAAAACATGTACACATTATCTTATATAGAAATATTAGTAATTTAATATTGGTTTGTTCATGCAGAGAAAACTGTATCTGAGAATCATTATAAATATAGTGAAACTGATCCTTAACACTATTATATTTAAAAGACTATGTTCCCAGTAGGATTCTGATAGCAATTATTGTCTCATTAGTGAATAATAAAAGAAAAATT